GGGGCAAGGGGGGTGGGGGGGCACACAGGGGCGCATTGGGGGGCATTGGGGCGTTGCGTTTGTGGGTGAACCACTGGCCCTGTTAGAGATTCTTGTCCCGCTCACACCAGTGGCAGAGGGGAGGGGCAAAGATAGACGCACTGCATTTAGTGGTGAGCGCCGATCCCCATCCTATGCACGCGCCACAAGTCGTTGCCCGGACAGCGCACACACGAGGAGGAGAAAGAGGTTGGGTGCATAGGACAGGGACCATCCCGCATGTGCCAGATGGCCCTACCTCACCACTCTTCAATGCCAACAAAAAGCATAACTACCCAAGGAGATTCCCCCCTCCTCAAGGAGATTCCCCCCTCCTCAAGGAGATTCCCTCCTCTTCTTCCTCCCCTCCCTCCCTCCCCCCACACATAGAGAATCACTCTCACCTCCTCGTCACTCTCCTCTGGCCCCCCTGCCCTGATGCGGTTCAGGTGCGGGGGGCCATCTGCCCTGCCGTACGGCATCATCGTCTCAAACCAGGTGCCCCACGCCCTCATGCACCTCACTTCCCTTCTCTCCTCCCCACATCTCCCTATCTCCCACCCTTATCCCCCTCACTCTCCTTCTCTCCTCCCCACATCCCCCTCTCTCCCGCCCTCTCCCTCACTCCCCTTCACTCCTCCCCACATCCATCTCCCTCCCGCCCTCATCCCCCTCACTTCCTTTCTCTCCTCCCCACATCCCCCTCTCTCCCACCCTCATGTCCCTCACTCCCCTTCTCTCCGCCCCACACACCCCCCCTCTTTCTCACTGACCTCCTCGTCGCTCTCCTCTGCGCCGCCTGCCCGGATGCGGTTGAGGTGCGGGTCCACCGCGTCGTCGTCCGACTCCAGGTGCCCCACGCCCACGCCCACGACGCCCGCCCCCGCCTCCGCCCCCCCGCCTGCTGCTGCGTGCGAGTCCCCCAGGTTCAGAATCTTGATGCGCTTCTCACTGGGGGGGGGATGGGGGGAGGAGTGGGGCGAAGGGGAGAAGGGGGAGGACCAGGTGATAAGCGCGTGAGTAGAGGCACCTCTGCAGCTGCTTCCCCGCCTGCTCCTGCATGCGAGGCTCCCAGGCTCAGAATGTTGATGCGCTACTCACTGGGGGAGGGGGCTGGGGGGGGAGAAGCAACGAACGGGGGGCCAGGTGGGGGAGGAGGTTCCACACGTCTTACGAGGGTCTTGAAGCCAAATCTAGGGTCAGGAACAGAGGGTACAGGCAGTTGGTGAGAATAAGACGCCCCATGCACGCACTGGCAGGTGGCATGCGGGAGAGGAGGGAGGCAGGAGGAGTTCAAAGGCAGAAGAGGCAGATGGGGGGAGAGAAGGAGGGGGGAGAGAAGGAGGGGGAGAGAAGGAGGGGGGAGAGAAGGAGGGGGGAGAGAAGGAGGGGGGAGAGAAGGAGGGGGAGAGAAGGAGGGGGGAGAGAAGGAGGGGGAGAGAAGGAGGGGGGAGAGAAGGAGGGGGGAGAGAAGGAGGGGGGAGAGAAGGAGGGGGGAGAGAGGACGCAAAGCAGAGGAAAACGAGGAGGCGGAGCAAGAAGCGAGCGAGATGAGGAGGGGATAGCAAGAGGAAGAGCAAGAGCAAGAGCAAGAGCAAGAGCAAGAGCAAGAGGAAGCCAGGGGAAGGGAGAAAGACGTGAGCGCATAGGGGAGGAGGGAAGGGAGGGGAAGGGGAAAAAAGAAAGGTCGAAATCCCAAAAAAAAAAGCAAACTGGAAATTGGAAAAGCGGAATATGGATTAGACCAGCGAGTGCAGCAGATGTTATGTCACAGGAGAATGGCGGAAGGCGTGGGAAAGAAGCAGGACAGCGAGTGGCAGTGAGGTGCCAATTCAGGTGATGATGATTCCATCAAGACTCACTTCGAAATTACCTGAAGAAGGAGAAGAGGTTGTGGTACTCGTTGCGCTGGATGTTGCGGAACTGGTGCTCCTGCTCGTTGCGCAGGCGGATGACCAGGTCGAAGTACGACGACGAGATGCTGCTCGTGCCCGCGCCGTGCCGCTCAAATTCCACGTACTCCACCTGCCGGGTACCGTGGGTGGGGGCCGCATGGGGGGCGTGTGGAGCATGTGGGCCATGTGGGGCATGTGGGGCATGTGGGGCATGTGAGGCATGTGAGGCATGTGGGGCATGTGGGGCATGTGGGGCATGTGGGGCATGTGAGACATGTGAGGCATGTGGGGCATGTGAGGCATGTGAGGCATGTGGGGCATGTGAGGCATGTGAGGCATGTGGGGCATGTGGGGCATGTGGGGCATGGGCAAAAAAAATCGCATCGCATCGCATTAAATCGCGTTTTTGCGATTGCGGGAAAAAAAAAAAAAAAAAAAAAAAAAAACGCACGATGCGATGAATTGTTTATCGCGCAATTTAATTTTAATCCCATTTTAATCGCGCTAAAGAACGCGATTTAAATGCGATATGCGATTTTTTTAAAATCGCGCGCGATGTAGCACTGAAACTCACTCTGAAAACCACTACGAAACCACACTAGTTATTTGCACTCTAGCTTACGACTGCCCATGATTCAATTTCCAGGCAGCCATGGTTTTTTTCTGTTTTTTAGGGGAATTTTTTCATTCTGTTTTAAAATGTGATGCGATCTAAAATCGCATCTCACGACTCAATTAAATACCGCATGCGGTTTAAATATTAATTGCACGCACAACGCGATGTGCGTTTTTTTTTTTTTTTTTTTTTTTTTTCTCCAGAAATTAAATCGCGCGATGCGACTTAAAACCGCATCGCATTTAATTAAATCGCCGCCCAATGCGATGCGATTTAAATCGCAATCGCATTCTGCCCATGTCTAAGTGAGACACCGACGTTGAAAGTGGTATGTACCATGCTGCTATGCCTCCACCGTCCGTGGGGCGTTGTGCCATAACACACATGCCTGCCTGAGCAGCACTTACCCACAACACAACACGTAGGATGTAGGATAGGCACACAACAGCAACAACAGATGCGCATCTCTTTCTCCGCTCTCCTCATCGCATCTCCTCATCGCATCTCCTCATCCCATCTCCCTACTTCCGTTCGACACTTTCACCTCCCACTTCTTTAATTCCCCTGCCTACCTCTTTTCTCCCATCTCACATCTCCCATGAACCCAAACCCCCTCGCCCTCATCCTTACCCCTTCCTCCCCTCCTCCCCCTCCCCCCCTCCCATCGTCCCTTCTTTCCCCCCCCCCTCTGAGCGCACCTCATCATGCAGGACGAGCGTGGGCGGCTTGGGCAGGAAGAAGAAGCTCTTCTCGAGCGGGTACAGGTACCCCTCCTCCGCTTTGAGCGACGTGCGCACCGCGTACCCGTCGCTGTTGCTGCGGAACGTGCCGGGGCGGGTGACCTTGGAGCCCGAGAGCCCTCTCAGGATCTGTGCGAACACCTCGTGCACCAGGCCCTGGGGGGTGGGGGTGGGGGTGGGGATGGGGATGGGGATGGGAGTGGAAGGAGTGGTGGGGAGTCGTGAGTGACGTGCGCACGGCGGGCCCGGCCGAGTCACCTTGGAGCCCGACAGCCCCTGCACGATGTGACTCAACACCTCCTCGTGCACCAGGCCGTGGATGCCGATAGGTGTGGCACAACGATAGGTGTGACACAACGATCAGTGCAGGGTGTCTCAAGGGCAGTGAGCCAGGCATTGGCCCCTGTAACCCGTGAGGCAGGGCATGTGGGGACCAGGGCAGAGGCAGGGGGGTAAGATAGGCAAAGAGACGCAGAGACCTTGTACACGGGCTGCAGGCGGTCCTTGTACTTGGTGGTGAGCAGCTCGTCGCTGAGCGCCAGCCCTCCTTCAAACGTCTCCTCGTTGGGGAACTGGCCGTAGCACCATGCGAGCACGGGCACACGCAGAGCACAAGGTGAAGCATGGAGGAGGCAGGCAGGCATAATTGACATGAGCGACAAGGCCAGGGGAAGGAGTGAAAGGCTGAGAGGAAGCAGGAGGGTTGGAGGGAGGGACGAGGTAGGGAAGGTAAGGGGGTGGTGCGAGGACTGCGTCAGTCAAGTTGATGCGACTCACATGAATTTCGCCAAGGGGAAAAGGGTGCGACAATGAGGTTTGCAGTGCAGTGGAGTGCGGGCGGGTGGGATGGAAGCGCACCTGGAGCACGATGTGCGGGTAGAGCGTCTGGCCCTTGCGGATGGGCGTGTCCAGTGTGACAACGACGAAGGTGTGCGGTTGGTTGGCCTGGCGCACAGGCAAGGCAGCGCAAGCATTGCAGCGCAAGAGGGACACAAGACACGGATGGCGAGAGCAGAGCACCCATCAGTCAGCAGTCAATCGCGGCTGCATGTGCTCGACCAGCAAAGGGGCTGTGCGAGCAATGCATCCAGAAGAGCACAGCTTGGGCGGGCTCACGTGACCCCCCAGGCGTTGCGAGTGGTGACCTTGGGCAGCACGAAGACGCGTGCGAGGTTCTTGTACTGGATCTTGAAGTCGACGGCCATGCCCTGCAGGCGGATGTGCGACACGTGCAGCTCCACCTTGAAGCGCCCTCTGGGCGTGAGGATGTGCACGCCCTCAAACTCCACCACCGACTCGTCACCCGAGGGCCCCACGTCCGCCTTGGCTAGGATGTGCTCCTGGAATATCTGCCAACGGACAGCCGTCATGGCGGGCATGTGACGACAACGTGTGCGTGAGGATGTGCACTCCTTCCCACTCCACCACCGACTCGTCCCCGGACAGCTCCACGTCCGCCGTGGCAAGGATTTGCTCCTGGAGCATGTGGCAGTGGGAAGGGGAGAAGGGTTACGGCATGCTTGCAAGAGGGTTCAGGGTGGGAGGCGGGCTCTTGGTCCTTGCCAAGCAGTTGCTCCTGAACGAGGTGGCACGAAAAAGGAGGGAGCAGGAGAGAGTGTGAAACCCCCTATCTTCCCAACGCCCAATTACCTTGGCAGCATTGCGATCAAACCTGCAGTAAGGACGTTACAGCTAATACCTCACCTGAGCGGAGGGCTTGTCCTCGGTGCCGACATAGGTGGTGTTGGTGGTGGGGATGTGGAAACTCATCTCCACCAACGTGTCCTTCTGGCGCCGCCAAGAGGAGATGGGGGGGGGAGGGGGAGAGCAGCACACATAGAGGAGAGAGATGCAGGGCACACACGGAGCAGAGAACAACGTGAAGATGGCCCTCTACTGGTAACGTGCGCGGCCAGCATGCTGTACACACACGTCCTGCAGCCTTGATCTCATAAAAAAAACCACCCAATCACATGCCACTTCAGCACACACGCCACCTCAGCAGAAATGCCACGTCAGCACACCTCAGCAGCGGTCGCGGTGTCGTCCACGTGGAACTCCAGCAGCACGTCGTTCTTGCCCGACAGCTGAGTCTGCGACACGTCAGCAATGGAGATCTCGAATGCCTGCTTGCCGCCCACCAGAAACCCCAGCATCGTGCCTGCATGTGCGCATGCGTGTGCGCATGCATGTACACATGTGCGCATGCATGTACACATGTGCGCATGCATGTACACATGTGCGCATGCATGCATGCGTGGAACGACATCAGAGACGAGCGCAGCATGCATGACCAAACCAACGAGCACAAGTGCACAAAGCACAAACAATTGGCAGGCCAACAAGTTGAGCAAAGCAAGGCATGCAACACAGAACCCTTGGCATGGCAACACCAGCCAGTGCCTCTGCCTCTGCACTTCACCTGTAAACGGAATCTTACGTTTCCCATATCATGCGTTAACCAATGCACAACCGTCAGATACAACTTCCAACTCAGCAGCACCTCTCTCAACCACTGCGTAACACGTCTATCGGCCGTACCGTCTATGTCGGCATCGCCCCAGTTCCTGCCGCTGGTGGCGAGCTCCTTGCTCTTGGGGGCGAAGCCCAGCGTGGACGTCAGGAAGGGCGAGAGCGCCGCCACGTCCTGGCGGGGAGGGAGGGAGCGAGACAGAGCGACGGGACGGAGGAGATGGCGTGGTTGGTTGGTGGGAGAGGGAGGTGCGCACGCGGGCCACAGGTGGTCGGGCATGACCGCCACAGCGCCTCGTGCAGCCAACGCGCGTGCAATGTCTCCAGTGTCCTCGCCAGCACCTTCAGTGCCGTGCACCGCAGCAACCACTCTCTTTCACTCACCTGGGACGCAGTGGCCCCACCAAGCGCCCAGGGGCGGACAACTCACTTGTCTATGCTCGCACGGTGACCCATCCGCGTGCCATCCACCTGCTGCGTGAGTGAACTTACTCAACTTCGCTATGACTTCACCTCTCCCCGTGCACTGCTTGCACCTTCACTCTGCACTGTCCTGCCACCCACCAGCCCTTCACCACCCACCTGTCCCTCACCATCCTCCTGCCCTCACCACCCACCTCCCCCCCCACCTGCTGTGTGCTCCCCCCACCCCCACCTGCCATGTGCTCCTTCCCTCCCCCCCCCCCCACCTGCTGCGTGAAGCCGTTGAACTTGACTTTGCCGCCCGCCTTGAGGCGCACGCAGAGCTGGAAGCCGCGCGGCACGCGCATCCACACCAGCGCCGCCATGTCCGTGCGCGCCACGTCCACCTGCTTGCCGCCGCCCAGCTTGCGCCACGCCAGCCCGCCCGTATGCACTCTTAGCTGACCCGGCGTCTGTGAGGGGTGAGAAAGGGTGAGGAGGGATTGGAACAAGACAGGGAGGCGGCAAGCGAGAGGGCATTCAGGAAAGCTGCTTTGTGCGAAGCGCCCCCCGCCTCCGCCAGGCCCCCGTGTGCACGCGCTGATTTTGAGGCGCCTCAAAAATAGACTCCCCGTGTGCACGCGGTGCTGCCCAGGCGAGGGCGAGGCATTGGAAAGGGCGAAGAAGGGAAGCGGGATGTGCGGCGAGGCAGGGAAGTCGAGAATGAAGAGCGCTCGCCGCTGTGTTTCAGGCTCCTCTCCTCTCGAGCATGCCTCATCGCTCCGCGTCCACCTGCTCGCCCCGCCCCAGCTTGCGCCACACCAGGGCCCCCGTGTGCACGCGCAGCTGGCCGGGCGTGTGCGGGGGACGGGGGGATCGGGAAGGCTGCAGGGATGAGGAGTGGGACGCAGGCCCAAGGGAGGAAGGCGCTGGGCTTGACGCGCAGCCGAACATGCGTCAAGAGCTGCGACGCGCACATGCCGATGCTCTAGAGGATAACGCGCACGAGTCCAGTCGGTGGCGCGAGGCGAATCTAAGGCCGGGGAGGAGCGGGAGACGACGGCAGGAGCAGAGGGAGCAAGAGGGAGCACGCGCGCAGGGAGAAGCGCATCTAGCGGCGAGGGCGTGCGCAGCGAGCGGCGGACTTGCCAGAGCGCCGCGGCCGCCGAGAAGGATGTTGTTGAACTGATGCACCGCCACGTCCGCCATGGCGCCCGCCCCGGCTCTCCGAGGCTCCGCGGGTGGCGGGTGCCGCCGACAAGGAAGGGTGCTTGGTGAGGTAGATGGAGGTTGGGCAGGCGTGGATGTGTGATTGCCTTTGGCGTCGGTCCTACGCGTCACCGATTTGCTGCGAGAGCTAGCCTCCAGCCTTGAGCACCAGCCCGCTCAGAAAACAGCACGACCTGACCTGACCTGATTCGACTTGCAGATTATTTCTATAGCGAGTATGCGGACGCACTTGGTTCGGTGTCCGAAACATGTGTTTCATTGCGGTTTTATGCATTGCTTTGCTTTCCAGAGCGGTTCCATAAACAGGTAGGGCAGTTGAGAAGCATACCATACTAGCTCTGTTCTGCAGGCACATGGAAAAGGTATGGAAATGGAGACGAACGGCCCGAGCCTAACCAAATATCGGTTCGGAAAGACGTTCGGGTTAAAAAGGTCTCCAAGCCAACACTGGCCTGTTTCTGAATGGTGTCATCTCGTTGTGGTGTCATCCGATAAAGCTGGAAACGAATCGCATGCTTGGAAATTTCAATAAAGCGTACGTGATTGGTTTCCCAAGTTTCTCGGATGACAGCAGGATAGGGTGACACCATTTAGAAACACGTAAGGAACCCCATCGCACACACCGAGTACCCTTTGGGAGCCGAGCTTATATTTGAGACTCAGCTCCTTACCACCTGGTAAGGCTCGGGGCGCTCGTTTCCATTTCCATTCTTTTTCCATATGCTTGCAGAACAAGGCCACTACCTAACCTCATTGACGTGACGCCGCTATGCCAGTGTGCGCACCGCACGCCCATCGCGACGGTCTAGGGGCGAGCGCGTATCGACCTTCGTGCGTGTAGGGACATGACTCAACATGCAAGCGATGCATTTCATTTTCACTCCTCGCCGTATGCCACGTGACGCACCTCTGTCTGGCTATTGTCGCGACGGCGTGCGGCACGTCTTACTGAACATTCGCCTTGTCGCCTTATCACGCCGCGTGGGCTATGGACAAGTCGAATGTTCAGCACTACGACGCGCTGGAACGAGCACCTCTTGACCTCCTCATCACCGTGCTCTCCGATGCCTTACAAGCATGCCATGCCATGCTGTGCACGCCGCGGCCTGAGTGTCCATCGCAGTCGCATGAAGCATGGACGCGCTAGACGGCTATCTCTTGCACCGCGTTGCGACCGCCACCGGCCAGCCAATCTCCGCCATCGCCGCTCTCGCCTGCGTTTCCCGCTCTTTCGCGCGCCTCAGCCGCGCAGAGCTATGGCCGCTCTACTGTCGCTCGTGCGCGGCTGGCCAGCCTGAGGGCGGAGGCAGCGCGGCCATTGTGGCGCGGCTGGTCGACGAGGCGCTCCGCGCCGACGCCCCGCGGTGCGTCGCCAGCAGCCCCGCCAAGTGCCTTAGCTGCTGCCCCAGCGTCGCCGCGCTGACCACATCGGTTCCGCCAGCGCGCGCCACACGCGCCGAGGCCGCTGCTGCGCGCACTGCCCTACCCAATCTCGTACGTCCCACTGCTCGCCCTCGCGGCGTCGCCTCTTATATGGATGAGCGGGCGTCTCTCTGCTGTGCCCTCGCCTCGCGGATGTTCCTCCCCAAGTGCCTCCCCACCGCCCCCCCGCCCTCAGCACCACCCACCGCCACGCATGCCCCTACCCCCAATTCACTGGCCCCGCCCGCTGTCATCCCCTCACAGCCCGGATGCGGGTTGATTGGGAGGAGGGACAAAGGAGAGCGGGAAGGGGAAGGAGGAGGGGGAGGGGGAGGGGGAGGGGGAGGGGGAGGGGAAGGGGCAGGGGCGGAGTGCATGGCTGTGGTGATGCAGTGTGGGCCGCATTCGATGAGGGAACAGTACTGCGTGGGGAAACGCTGCTTGGTGCTCAGGGGAGCAATTGCGGGGTTCAAGCACTCAGAGTACGCCATGGCCATAAGCGGTGGTGTAAGGATGAGACACGGTGGCTCTTGCATGGGTAGCCTTTGGTCCACATTTAGTTACTGGCACACTATGCCTGCTCGCTTCAGACAATCAGCGTTGGGTTTTCATCGACTGTCATCACCCATCGCTCATCACCCATCGCTCATCACCCATCGCTCATCACCCATCGCTCATCACCCATCGCTCATCACCCATCGCTCATCACCCATCGCTCATCGCGCATCGCTCATCGCCCATCGCTCATCGCCCATCGCTCATCGCCCATCGCTCATCCCCCATCGCTCATCGCCCATCGCTCATCCCCCATCGCTCATCACCCATCGCTCATCACCCATCGCTCATCCCCCATCGCTCATCACCCATCGCTCATCACCCATCGCTCATCACCCATCGCTCATCACCCATCGCTCATCACCCATCGCTCATCACCCATCGCTCATCACCCATCGCTCACCATCGCTCTGGAGAGGTGGCAGCGCTGCAGAGGCGCTTGAGTCTTCCGCCTACCCCAGCGAGGGGGGGTGTCATGATACACGCTGGGGTTGCCCTTGGTTCTCGGGGAAGGGTTACAGGTGCAGAGCCTGGGGGGTTATGGGCGCACTTACCGCTACTTAACAAGCCCTCTTAACTCAATGCTTAGTGACTGAATTCTGATATGGTATTGGAGCTGAGTGACCACTCGGATTCAACTCCCAGTGTGCACCGGAGAGGTGGCAACGCTACAGAGGCACTTGTGTCTTCCGCCTACGTGAGCGAGGGGGGGTATCATGATACATGCTGGAGTTGTCCTTGGTCCTCGGGGAAGGGTTACAGGAGTAGAGCTTGGGGGTTATGGGCGCACACACACGCTACTTAACAAGCCCTTTTTACTCAATGGTTAGTGACTGAGTTTTGATAGACTCTCACGGGAATCATGATGTGGCTGAGGTTGTCAATTTTTGCGGCGACTTTTTGCAGGAAGAATCGGCCAATCAAATTTCGCCGATCGATCCAAGGCTGCAGCAAGATTGTGGGAGCGGGAGGAAATCTCGCCCTCACAATGCTCCAAGGCGCATACTGGGCCCTAAATTCGGCGAAGGGCCAAGTCCTCTAACACATCCCCCTCTCAGAATAACGCATTAGGTAGAATCGAGGGTACAGCGTGAATTTGTGCTAGTGAGTTGGACTCTCTAAGTGCATGTACCTATCTAGCCTATAATATCATATGCATATACTGTATGTTTGACACACCTCCTAGGCTAGACAAGGAGCAGTGCTTGACAAGGGACACGCAACTGAGGGTGGCACTACTAGTCCAACCTTTGAGGCAAGGGTCAGAAGACCAGTCAAAATAGTACAAACTAGACAAGAGCAAACCAGGGCTGCACTACTAGTCCGGCCACTGGAACAGAAGCCACAAGGTTAGTCAGGAGAATACAGTATATAAAAGAGTAGTACACAATCAAGGTCCTCGCAAGTGAGGAGCTACTCGAACCAGACCAAGCTGTACAGAGTGCCGCTGATGATCTTTGGGCGCAAGCGTCCTAGTAAAGATATCAGCTGTGTTGGCACTGGAGGCCAAGTGAACTGCGTGAGCCTGGCATCGCTGCTGTAGCTCGCGCAGGAGGAAGTACTGCAGCTAGATGTGCTTAACTCTGCCCTCCAGTGGAGGCTCCTGACACAGAAGGATCATGGGCATGTTGTCAGCGTATAAGACCGGGGCAGAGCTAGGCCGCTCACTAAAGTCTGTGAGCAAGAAAGTCAGCCAGCAGAGCTCCTGTGCCGCCATGGCGCCAATTGAGATCTCAGCTTCCCAGCTAGACTGTGCCACAGACGACGAGCGGGTGAACCTCCACGAGATGTTGACTGCACCAAGGCTAAAGCAGTAGCCCTGGGAGGACTTGAGCGTCTCAGCGTCGTCCGCCCGCGAAGCGTCTGTGTGCCATGTAATGACCATTGGTATGCGTCCTCCTAGCACTAGCCCCATGCCCGATGTACTTGCTAGATAACGCAAAACCCTCTTAGCGGGCGACCAGTGCTGCGGTCGGTGTATGCTTGTGGCCACAAAGCGAGCCAGGATGCTGAGAGGGTATGCAAGATCTGGACGAGTGCAAGTCATTAGGTACATAAGACAACCCACCAGCTCTGCGTACGAACCACTAGGCTCTACCGACTCCTTAGGGACTTGAGCCGAGAGCCTGTGATCTAATGGCAGAGGTGTGGGCTATGTAGAGGAGAACTGAAGACCAAACCTCTGAAGGACCTAACACACCAAGTGTGACTGCGTGAGAGTGATGGTGCGTGCTGCTGTGTCTCTGGAGATCTGCAGGCCAAGGTAGCGGCGCAACTCTCCTAGGTTAGTGCATGTGTGTCTCGTCAGCAGCTCAGCCTTCACGGAGGCCAGTGCATCTCTGTCTGCAGTAGCAAAGACCAAATCATATACGTAGACAAGGATGTCAAATGGGGTCTTAGCTGAACGAACGAAGAGTGAAGGGTCTGTAGACGACGGGAAGTACTGCAGGTCAGCTAACGTAGCGCGCAGCGTATTGTGCCACTCACGGGGTGCCTACCGCAGGCCGTAAACCGGGCGCCGGAGAAGCCTGCCAGACGGCGCAGGTAGACTTGCTCGTGCAGACTGCCCTGTAGAAACGCTGTAGAGAAGTCGAGGGAGTACATCTCGTAGTCACGCTGTACAGCTACGTGTAGTAGCACCTGAAGAGTGGTCATCTTCGAGGTCGTGGCGAAGGTCTGAAAGAAGTCAACACCCTCGCACTGACTGAAGCATCTAACAACGTAGTGCGCCCAGAACACTGGCGGCTCTCTAGGAGGGTGCTTCACCTTGAAGAGTCAGCGGCCATCGACTAAGTTCACATCAAGTAGGGTAACTGCATCGACGTAGGTGCTGGTGGATTACCAAAATGCCATCTCTGCGTCCATGGCAGCTATCCACAGAGAGGCCCATTGTCCCGAGGTCGCCTCAGCGTAAGTATGAGGGGTCAGGATGCCAAGGGTGTCTGGGTCACCCTCAGGGACTAGCAGCATGGAGCAGAGATGGGGAGCGGCCTCGGAAAGGAAAGCTAGCTCGTATTACCCATCCACTAAGACGTTACTGCCAAGGGAAGGTGCACCCCCGACGGACAGAGGACGGGCAGGGTTAGAGACTAGAGCTGTGGCGTAGTCAAGGCGGTGGGTAGAGGCAAAGTCAGCGACGGAATTGACAAG